GTCAGAGAGTTTCAATTGCGCCAAAGTTCGTTTAGATTTTTGCCAAATTTTCAAAAAATTGGCTGAACACTGATCTGTTTACACCAGCAAAAGTTCTAGATTTGGTTTCAATAACTCTTTCCTCAATAGGCAACGGTTCCAAATTTGTGTGCGCTGTTTAGCTGAATAGAGGCAAGCGTTCACTATTGAGATGGAAACTTTCATTTGCCCCACCATTTTCCTTAATTTTTTAGAAATTTTCTAAAAATTGCTTGAAAACTAATCTGTCGTGATCTGAGTGATAGACACTATTTCTATTTTTTGCAGTCTTTGTTTTAAAAATAATTTTCTCTATAACCAAAAGCCCAAACATTTTCTACACTATACATTTGTATAGGGGAAAGTATTTCTTAGTTGGTCAGAGATTGCGCTAAAGTTTGTTTTGATTTTAGCCAAATTCTCGAAAAATTGCTTGGACACTGATCTGTTTGCACCAGCGAAATTTGTAGATTTGGTTTCAATAACTATGTCTTCAATGGGCATCCGTCCCGAATTTTTGTGCGCAGTTTAGCTGGATAGAGGCAAGCGTTCACTAGTGAGATGGAAAGTTTTATTTGCCCCACAATTTTGCTTAATTTTTGACAAACTTTCAGAAAAGTGCTTGAAAACTCATCTGTTTGTATCACTATTTTTTGCCGTTTTTGTTTTAAAAATCATTCTCAATAACCAAATGCCCCAACATTTTCTGCCCTATACATTTGGATCGAGGAAAGTATTTCTTAGTTGGTCAGAGAGTTTCAATTGCGCCAAAGTTCGTTTTGATTTTTGCGAAATTTTCGAAAAATTGCTTCAAAACTGATATTTTTGCAACAGCAAATTTTGCAGATGTCTCAATAACAATTTCCTCAATAAGCAACGGTAACAAATTTTTGTGCGCTGTTCAGCTGGATAGAGGAAAGCGTTCGCTAGTGAGACAAAAAGTTTCAATTGCGCCGCAATTTTCCTTAATTTTTAATAAATTTTCGAAAAATTGCTTGAAAACTGATCTGTTTGCACCAGCAAATTTTGTATATTTGGTTTCAGTAACTATTTCCTCAATAAGCAACCGTTCAATATTGTGGTCCGCTGTTTAGCTGGATAGAGGGAAGTGTGCACTAGTGAGATGAAAAGTTTCATTTGCCCCACAATTTTCTTTAATTTTTTACAAATTTTCGAAAAATTGCTTGGAAACTAATCTGTTTGTAAAATCATTTTCTCCATAACCAAAAGCCCCAAAATTTGATGTTGTTAACAAATGCGTTGTTTCAATAATTTTTGATCTAAAAATTCAAACAGCTAAATCGTTAAATATAGCAAATTTTTGCTGAGGGAATTGTTCGGTATGCATCTACAAAACCTGGTTTCCGGTGCTCTTTGGCAAACTTTTTACAAAATTTCGAAAATTCGGCTAAAAACTAGTTTTTTGAATACGTGACTTCAGCAATTGATTCCCCAATCACGAAATGCTCTAAAGTAGAAGGTTCGAAGTAGGCAGAAAGAATCGAAAGATCGCTATTGACCTAAAAAAAATTATTAACACAAGTTTTTCAGTGAATCTTGACAAATTTTCGAAAATGTATTTTCTAATTAGTTTGTACGTATTAGCTCATTTGACCGCGTTTGCCTTCATATTTAATGCCGGACGAATACATTGTTCACGAATACACAGTTCGATATTGAAAAGTATGTGTTTTTAACCGGGAAGTTTTATTTGCGCGAGTTTTTTAGTTAATATTTGGCAAATTTGAGAAAATCCGTTTGAAAACTAGCTTGCTTGAATCGGCACATTTTGCACACTGAGCTTCAATAATTAATTTCTCAGTTGCCCAAACCTATGAAGACTCAGTAAAAAATAGACAGAAAGACGTGAAATTTTTCAGAATTTTTCGAAAATCAGCTTAAAAACCAATTTGTAGGTTTTTACTGGTTTTACAGGCTGATTAAATATTGTTCGTGAACACCTGAAATCCCTTCAACGTTCTCTTGTGCACAGTTAGATAGATGAAAATTCTACCTATCAAGCAAGAAACGTTCATTTGCGCTATTTTTTTGCAAACTTTTAGCAAATTTTCGAAAATTTGCTTAAATACTTCATTGTTTGTTTTGCCCCGTTTTGGAGACTTCAGGTAAATAATTAATTTCTCAATCAGAAAATGGTCCAAATAATTTCGGACAGCACAAAATATAGGGGAAATTGGGGCCGAGTTACGTTTTTAATGACATAAATCTAGTTCTTTTGAGCAAAATCATTTCGCAATCGGGGCTTTTCTCCATGGCCTCTTTTTGCACATTATGTTCAAGAATTTACGACCCAGATGTCTTGAAAAATTCTCTATCAGGCAGTCTGATAGAGAAAACTGGGCTCTATTTCTCCGAACAGTTTCACTTATTCCACTTTGTCGGTTAATTTTTGGCAAATTTTTGAAAATTGTCCAAAAACGAGTTTCTCTCCAATAGATCATTTAAAAGACGTGGCTTATATAATTAATTTCCCAGCAATGGATTGCTCTAGAAGATCCGAAGGGGTGCGAATCAGAAACAGATTTATCTGCATCCGCTCATTTTGTAGACTGCGGTTTCAAAATTAGCTCCTCAAAAAGCAAATGTCCTGCAACGTTTGAGGCTGCACACTTTACTACCGGAAAGCGCTCGCTTTGCGACTCGAATGAAAAATCTTTAATCGATTTTCGTCAAATTTCCTAAATTATTAAAAACTGTGTTTGAAACTTAGCTGAGCTTAAAAAATTTTCAATAATTAATTTCTCAACGATTGAGAGCCGTATAACTCTGAATTCCAGAGAGTACGAAAGAGAAAGAGGAAAGTTCTTGCTATTAAACAGCAAAATTTTATTTATGTAGCTTTTAACGTGAATTTTTGAGAATTATTTGAGCATCATCTTAAAACCCAGCTGGTTCAATCTGTTGGTTTTACAGACGTTGTTTCAATAATTTTTGTTCCAAAAACTCAAACAGCTAAATCGATAAATACAGCTTTGCAGCAATTTTGAGTGTTCAACAATAGTGTTCGCTTTGCATCTACAAAACTTGATTTGCGGTGCTCTTTTGGCAAATTTTTAACGAAATTTCGACAATTCACCTAAAAACTAGTTTTTTGAATACGTGACTTCAGTAATTAATTCCTCAATCACGAAAAGCTCTAAAGTAGAAGGTTCGAAGTAGGCAGAAATAATCGAATGCTCGCTATTTACCGGAAAAATTTAAAGTAAAACACTCAATGAAAAACACACATTTTCAGTCAAAAATTCGAAAATTTTCTGTTTTAATTGGTTTGTACGTATCAGATCATTTGGACGCGTTTGTTTTTTAGTGCCTCACAGATCCAATATCCTACAATGTAGGCTACACCGTTCGATACGTGAAAGTATCTGCTTTTTGAACGGGTTTCATTTGCGCGAGTTTTTCAGTTGATTTTTAGTAATTTTTGGAAAATCCGTTTGAGAGCTAGCTTGCTTGTATCGAATCATTTTGCAGACTTGGTTTCAATAATTAACTTCTCACTTGCCCAAACCTATGAAGACTCAGTACAAAATAGACAGAAAGACGAGAATGCTTGCTATTATAGCACAAAGTTTTATTTGCGCAGCTCTCTTGGTTAAGTTTTGAGTATTTTTCGAAAATTATCTTGAAAGCCAGTTTGTAGGTTTTTGCTGGTTTAACAGACTGATTCAATACTTTTCATGAACAATCCATTCAAAGGTTCTTGTGCACAGTTAGATAGAAGAAAATGCTAGCTATCAAGCAGGAAACGTTTATTTGCGCGATTTTTTTGCAAATTTTTGGTAAGTTTCCGAAAATTTGCTTCAAAATTTGATTGTTTTGTTTTATCTCGTTTTGCAGACTTTAGCGAAATAATTAATTTGTTCATCATGAAATGTCCCAAATAATTCCGGAGAGCGCAAAATACAGAGGAGAGTACGGCCTATTTATGGGAAAAGCTTAATTTTTTAGCTTAGCTTAAAAAAAATAATTAATTTCTCAACGACTGAGAGCCGTAGAACTGTGAGTTCCAGACAGTTAGAAAGAGGAAAGTTCTTTCTATTAAACAGCAAAATTTTATTCACATCGCTCTTTTCGTGAATTTCTTAGAGTAATTTGAGCATCATCTTAAAACCCAGCTGGCTAGTATTTGCTGGTTTTACAGACGTTGTTTCAATAATTTTTTTCCAGAAACTGAAACCGCTAGACCGTTCGATACAGCAAATCTTTATGGAAGAAACTGTTCGCTATGCACCCACCAAACTTGATTTGCGGTGCTCGTTTGGTTGATTGTGGACGAATTTTCAAAAATGCGCCGAAAACCAGTTTGTCGGTATCAGGTATCAGCTCATTTCGCCGACTTTACTTCCGTAATCAATGTCCCAGCAAGGGAATATCTTAGAGCGCCACTATTGCTCTTCCTAGATAAAGAAAAGTGCCCCCATTTTTGGCTGATTTTAGACGCACTTTCAAAAACTGATAATTTCACTGATAATTGATGCAAGCAGCCAATCTGGCCGAGGAAACGTCCCCCTAGAAAGTTATTAAGTACAACATGCACACCTGGCATGATTAATCAAACTTCCAGCTTCTGTCTGACGGATTTTCAGGTTTATTTGAACTGAGATTCCCCCTTTGTTAAAATAGATCAAGTCAAGCGCATTTCCGAATCGAAACTGATCGGCCAATAGATCAATCTTCTTGCACATTCGGGCAGCAAAAACATGCACTGTTCCCATAATAGATTAATTTGTGTGTTTATTCATGTGTGCAGCCGAACCTGGCACCAAATCCATGCCCAATCCAAATATCTAATTTTAAATTAATATTTTGTTTATTTGTATTTGCGGCTGGGCCTGTTTCCGCAATTTGCGATCGAAATAGTGCCCGACATACCTATCCAGACTATTTATCAGTGTGCCAAAAGAATTCGTTTTTGTTGCCTCCTAAACGTCGAATTTCTCGCGCGAATTTGGGCCACTTACCAAAGGTGAACTTGATGAATAGATCCAGATGCGATAAAATGAGCAGCAGCGAAATGTGGAAAACGACAGCATTCATTGCGATGGGGGAAAGCTGGGTGGTTGAAAGGGCCTTAGCCCGGCTTAGCTCCACATGTCACATGATAGCTGGAAAATCTGCAACATTCCTGCAAACCATAAAATCCCACATTAACCGTGACGCAACGTCAATAAAAATTGAATTGCCGACGCTTTTAACACCTACGAAAATCAATTAGAGCTTTCGGATGCTCGAAAACCAATAAACAGTCTTTGGGAGGATCATCGATTTTGAATTATAACTGGTTTTGTTTTTCTAATTGCCACTAAAAGCTCTCTGAGTTACAAGCGAAGATTAAATCACCCAAAGAGTGCAGTTTTCGCTTTAACTGAATTTAAAGTCTGTTTTTGGCCGGCTGAAAATTTTCATCGACGTCTGCAACTTGAAGACTTTTACTCAAAAATTAATTTCTCATTTATTCTCATTAACTAACAGTTTGTCCTTCATGGTATCCCAGAGGGAACATCATCTTCTTGAAAGAGTGCAAGTTTTGTTTGGAATACATATTTTAATGATTTTTAATAAAAAAAACAGTTGGGAATTAGCGCTTTTGAATGCATGTATCCTACACACCCCTGCGCTAGCAAAGAGAAACTAGTATTTTACATCATTCTATTGCGAAATCTCTGCTCTATTCCACCTGAAAGTTTCATTGCAATGCAATCACTCTAGTACTTTGGACACATTTTTAAACATTTAGTCGCACATGTGACTATTTTCGCTGTTTGTGGGTTGAAATGATTTTTTCACCTCCGCTTTCCAATGTTTTGGGCTTAGAATATATTATGGTGATTTTTGTGATGCAAAGCTTAAGTAGAACCAAACAAGAGCTCAAAAATGAGTCTAAACAATTCTGTGCTGCTAATCAATTCGTTTATTCATTATCCTCGATTATTATTTTGTCTTGTTTTCAAAGCTTTGATTGGCATTGGGATCTCTTGAATCTTTCTTCATTTATCTTTGGAATGACTTTTTGTTTGCCCATTTTCTGTTCGCTTTTCTTTCAATCTCTTCACCGCTTCAATTTTTTTCTTTTTTATAATTGTAGCTTTAGTTTTTGTCTGCTTGTGTGTTGAAATGGTTTTCTTTAGCTCCGCTTTTCAATGCTTCGGCGCTTAAAATCTGTTGTGGTGATTTTTGTGATTCAAAGCTTAAGTAGAACCAAACACGAGCTCAAAAAATGAGTCTAAACAATTCTGTGCTGGAAAGAACAGTTTTTCGTTGGAAAGTAGTTTGTGATTTATTGGCTCTAATCAACTATTTTATTCATTATTCTCCATTAGTGTTTTCAAAGCGTTGATTGGCATTGGGGATCTCTTGAGTCTTTCTTCATTTATCTTTGGAAGGACTTTTTGTATGCCCATTTTCTGTTCGCTTTTCTTTGAATCTCTTCATCGCTTCAATTTTTTTCTCTTTTATAATTGTAGCTTTAATTTTTGTCTGCTTGTGTATTGACATGGTTTTCTTTAGCTCCGCTTTTCAACAGTTCTGGGCTTAAAATCTGTTATGGTGATTTTTGTGATGCAAAGCTTAAGTAGAACCAAACACGAGCTCAAAAAATGAGTCTAAACAATTCTGTGCTGGAAAGAACAGTTTTTCGTTGGAAAGTAGATTGTGATTTATTGGCTCTAATCAACTCTTTTATTCATTATCCTCCATTATTATTTTGTCTTGTTTTCAAAGCGTTGATTGGCATTGGGGATCTCTTAAGTCTTTCTTCATTTATCTTTGGAAATACTATTTGTTTACCCATTGCTGTTCGCTGTTCTTTGAATCTCTTCATCGCTTCAATTTTTATCTTTTTTATAACTGTAGCTGCTTTAATTTTTGTCTGCTCGTGTGTTGAAATGGTTTTGTTTAGCTCCGTTTTTCAATGCTTCTGGGCTTAAAATCTATTGTGGTGATTTTTGTGATGCAAAGCTTAGGTAGAACCAAACGAGAGCTCACAAATAAGTCTAAACAATTCTGTGCTGGAAAGAACAGTTTTTCGCTGAAAAGTGGTTTGTGATTTATTGGCTCTATTCAACTCTTTTATTGATTATACTCGATTATTATTTTTTCTTGTTTTCAAAGTGTTGATTGGGATTGGGGATCTCTCGCGTCCTTTTTCATTTATCTTTGGAAGGACTCTTTGTATGCCCATTTTCTGTTCGCTTTTCTTTGAATCTCTTCATCGCTTCATTTTTTTTGTTTTTTGTAATTGTAGCTTTAATTTTTGTCTGCTTGTGTGTTGAAATGTTTTCTTTAGCTCCGCTTTTCAATGCTTCTGAGCTAAAAATCTGTTATCGTGATTTTTGTGATGCAAAGCTTAAGTAGATCCATACACGAGCTCAAAAAATGAGTCTAAACAATTCTGTGCTGGAACGAACAGTTTTTCGTTGGAAAGTAGTTTGTGATTTATTGGCTCTAATCAACTATTTTATTCATTATTCTCCATTATTATTTTGTCGTGTTTTCAAAGCGTTGATTGGCATTGGGGATCTCTTGAGTCTTTTTCATTTATCTTTGGAAGGACTTTTTGTAAGCCCATTTTCTGTTCGCTTTTCTTTCAATCTCTTCACCGCTTCAATTTTTTTCTTTTTTTATAATTGTAGCTTTAATTTTTGTCTGCTTGTGTGTTGAAATGGTTTTCTTTAGCTCCGCTTTTCAATGCTTCTGGGCTTAAAATCTATTGTGGTGATTTTTGTGATGCAAAGCTTAGGTAGAACCAAACACGAGCTCAAAAAATGAGTCTAAACAATTCTGTGCTGGAAAGAACAGTTTTTCGTTGGAAAGTAGTTTGTGATTTATTGGCTCTAATCAACTCTTTTATTGATTATACTTCATTATTATTTTGTCTTGTTTTCAAAGCGTTGATTGGCATTGGAGATCTCTTGAGTCTTTCTTCATTTATCTTTGGAAGGACTCATTATTTGTCCATTTTCTGTTCGCTTGTCTTTGAATCTCTTGTGTTCTGCACACCGCTGGTCTAGCAATGATTTCTCTAAAGCGTAATCAGCTACGAAATAATTTTTAAACTCAATATATAAAGCAGAGTCTGGTCTATGCCTTCTAAAATTTTCACTTTAATGAAGTCATGGCGCCACTTTTGAAATAATTTTCAACATTTGCTTGCTGATTTGTTAATTTCAATCAATACTGTTTGCCGACTTCTATTCGGAAATGTCTTTCTCGGGAACTATTTCAGTCAACAGTTTTGTCCTCTATGTAGTTTCATAGAGAAAACTGTCATCTTGAGAGGGAGCCAGTTTTCGGTTTGGAATCAAATTTTAATGATCTTCGCCGAATTTGATTAAATGTTGTACGAATTTGCGCATATGAATGCATGTTTTTGACACACTATTACTCAAGTAACAATTCTTCTCAAACAACATCGGTTAGGAACTGGTTTTTTACATCATACTAATGAGGAAACTTCGCTCTATTTCACTTGAAAGTTCCATTGGAGTTGAACCATTCTGATCCTTTGGAGAAATTTTTGAACATTTAGTCGCAATTTTGACAATTTTTCCCAATACAGTTTGTACACTTATGTTCAGAAATGTCTTTCCGGCAAACAATATTAGCTAGGGGTTTGTCCTTTGTGTAATTGCATACACTTCTATGTTTTAGAGCGTGCAAGTTTTGTTTGGAATCCATGATTTTGTGATTTTTCCGGAATTTTGGAAAATATAGTTGGAAATTAGCGCTTTTGAAAGTATATGTTCTACACATTCCTACTCAAGCAATGATTTATCTAAAGCGTAATCAGGTAGGAACTATGTTTTCAACCCAATCTATAAAGCAGGATTTGGTTTATGCATTAATAGTTTGTCCTTTATGCAAGTTTATAGAAAAAGTTGTCTTTTTGAGAGGGAGTTTGTTTTTGGTTTAGAATAAATTTTAATGATTTTTACCGAATTTTGGAAAATATAGTTGGCGCTTTTGAATGCATGTGTTCTTCACATTCGTATTCTAGCAATGGAACTCTGCTTTCAACGCAATCTGTAAAGCTTAATTTAGTGTTTATGCACTCGAAAACTTTCATTTTAATACAGTCATTGCGAGGCTTTTGAGAAATGTTTCGACATTTGCGTGATAATTTGACTATTTTCATCAATACAGTTTGAAGACTTCTATTCGGAAATGTCTATCTCACAAATACTATTAGCTATGATTTTGTACTTTATGTCATTTAATAAAGAAATCTCTCGTCCTCAGAGGGTGCAAGGTTTGTTTAAAATGCGTTTTTTAATGATTTTTAACGAATTTTGAAAATTTGAGTTGGAAATTGGGGCATATGGATGCTTGTGTTCTACGCTCAATTTACTCAAACAACGATTTCTCACAAACAACATCGGTTAGGAACTAGATTTTCGGGTCATTCTGTGTGGAAAAACATGGTCTATTCTGCCCAAAACCTTGACTTTTATGAAGTTATTGAAAGGCTTTTGAGAGATTTTTTAACGTTTGGTTGCTAATTTGCTTATTTCCATCAATGTAGTTTGTAGATTTCAACTCAGAAAGGCCTATCTCGCAAATTCTATTACCTAGAACGTTGTCTTTCATGTCATTTGATAGCCTAATCCATCTTCTTTAAAGAGTGAAAGTTTTGTAATGTTATTTTTTAATGATTTTTACGTTTTTTTTACGTAAACTTCTATACCAAAAACTCATTTTCTTGGCAACTAGCGTCAGCTAGGACTCTCTTGTTTTTGTAATTTCATAGGAAGAACTTGGGTTTCAACGAGTGAAAGTTCGATTTAATCTTTTTTTCTCCTTTTTTCTTTAATATTTTTTTCTTGTTTCCTTTTATCTTGAAAAGTTCAATTCAGAAATATTTTTCTCGCAAATGGCATGAACTATGAATTTTTCATTCATCTTACTCTTCAGTTATTAGTTAATTTGTGGCACATGCCGATGTTGCAGCTCAAATATGAGGCAGCAGAGCTAAAGTGAATAAATATCAAGCCTCTATTGTTCAAATTAATCCAGTTTTTAAGAAAATAATGAGAAATTTTTGAAATGCCTATTTTCAGTTGGCCTTAAGAATCCCTGTAATTTACACTCTTCGATTTAGGAATTAATCGCTCCCAAATATGGCTAGAA